TTATATGCGTGGGCATTTAATCGATTACAATGAAAAGAACTAATGCTTCATCAAACTTTTTAGCGATTTCGATAGCTTCACGCTTGAACTCTCATAATAGATCTTCCATTAGTTACTCTTTCGATCGATATCTTGAGTTCTGATCGAAGTCGATTAACTTCTGTGTCTGTTTATTTGGTCCATTGTTGATGCTTTTCTGATTTCCATGCAGATACGCAGACTTATTTGCATTAAACCTAACAAATTGCCGGAATGCATTTCCGCTTCAATAGAATAGGTTAGGATACGCAAGCGTAACATAACTATCCAGTCAATTACGAATAGTTTCCTGTTTTCCTGTCATAAGTTATTTTCTGAACTGGATATTTTAGTTCGATCTGGATACTATATTCACTTGCGCATCTTTTTCCATCACAAAAATACGAGATTCAGTTTACTTAAATGCTGTACCATTCAGCAGGACCCATTGAAGGGCACTAAACACTAACGTTTCGTCCTATCTTAAGCTGTTCAACACTGCGTGCATTTTCTTTTTCCCTGCTTAGTCTTGAACCACCAACCTTCCGGTTGAGAGCAGTAACATGCTTATGTATCTGCATCGCTCGAGCAGTGAGAGTGTTGCGTAATCCGATAACCGAACGCACTTGAGTATATTAATGGTGTTCTCGTGGAAATTTCTTCTTCAATGTTTCTAATGAGCATATTTCATGGTCATCACATTCAGACAAATAAAATCAGTTTCCACCGAACCAAATATGTTTGTAAGCAAAAATATTGCGTAGACTTTAGCAACACTGTTTGTTTTACCCACTTTTCCAAAAACACGGTAGTCAAAAGAGATGTTTCAAATAGCTCGAACATTGTAGTTAATAAGGATGCTCGCGCAGATTAGGTCTTTTGTAACTGACATTTCCCTCACCCCATCCGCTGTTCCATAAATGCATACAATTTTCATTCCAGGTTCATCTACCGTTTTTTCTGCACACGAGTGCTTTAAGTGATGTATTCACATGTACAGATGTGGCAAAATAATTTCAGCTTCAGTGTGCTGCGAATCACTGTTTTAGGCTTCCTTATTCACATGATTTTCTAATTCCAATGGTGCTTGCCTGATGGTCCAAATAGTAATCATTAGCGTCTTGGCATGTTTTCACACCCCTTATATGTTCTGATGATAGGCGGCAATCATGTTGTTTTCCACCGCTGTACCGATTTCCTTCTGGATTATTGTGTGGTCCACTGACAACAAGCCTCGGGGGTTGCTGTCTCAGGATTATTTAAATCACACACACACACATCACATTCCTGTGATTGTGCAGCTCCATTCCTCTCCCCGTTCCATGGTGTAGCTCACTTCGAGGTTCTCACTGTGAACAGTGTCACTGAAACCAATGGTTTATCAACATAAGTTTGCGTGCCATCACTCATTAGTCCTCGCAAAGCGTGGAAAAATCCAACGATCCTCGATTTTTAACACCAATGTTTTCATTCGATCCTACTAGTAACTCGTCTAACTTCTTGCAAGGTTTCTTTTCATGTGGATCGCTTTTTATCGTTTAAACAGATTGTCTGCTTTTCGTTATAGACATATCCTCGTAAATCAGTGAGTACCATGACAGTTGGGTCTCAATGCACCCGCGGGCTTCTTGAGTAAAATGGTTCTTCAAACTGATGTGTATAGGGATGGATAAATCGAAAAATGTAAATTAGTAGCTATGCTTGTTTTCGAGAACTCCTTCACAACTGTATCAGTATCGGATTCCAATTTGGAGCAGGTCTTTTTGAAGAAATTGTGCACCGTGCTCACAATATTACACCTGTTTAAGAAGGTTTGGATTGCGATAAGGATGGAAAATTCATCACCAAAACATTGGTTTTAGTTATTTATTGTCGTGACTAAGCCAAACATTCATGTACAGATCTAGATCTGGCGTGTAATTGTTACTATGCTGCAGTGCTCATTTAATCGAACCGGCCTCTCCTTTTTACTGCAAGATTGTGTTTCGATTAAGTGCAACATGAGAAAATTCGCGTCAGATCAGTACTGTCAAAACGGTCCTATTGGCATCCGGTTATCGCCGGACTGGTCAAGAGTAGTACGATGAAACAGGCCACATGCTACACATTTTTTGTTGCTGCTAACAATAAAAAAGTTCTTTTGTTCACTCTGTTTCTTTTCTTGTGGTTTTATCCATAGACTTCCACCTCTTGCCTTAACGCTCCACCTGAGCGAACACAGTTGAACTCGTCAGCTTCGGCTTTGCCTGGCACTTCGACCACATCTGATGCAGCGCAGCTGCGTGCCACAGCAGTCACTACTTCTCCAAAGACACAGACTAACCCATTGACGAAACCACTTGTTCAAGACTATTCACATCTGAATGATAGAACAAGTAAGTAGATTTCCCGTCCTCTACTGCTGTGGCATATATCTCCGAACCGTTTTTCACAGTAGCCGGCTCAGCAGTGCTCTGATTTTGTTCGTAGTACGTGGAAGTTATTGTGGGACAGTTTTCTTTGCAAATCAAGGAACGATAAACAGAAATTCTAGTGCTGGAAGAGGCCTGACTTTTGGTGTTCTTTCCGGTCCCGCAGGTTTCTCTACGCACCATTCGGTCGTATACGTTCCATCACGGTGGTTACTTCCGTCGTAGTGTTGCCACATTTGTTGTTTTTGGTTTTATTCGGACTCTGCTTTCTGATGCTATGCTCGTTTCATCTCTGTTTTCCATTCCGATATTTACCATTATGCGGTTACTTGTGCACAACGAATAAACAGCTAGATACCCGATGACAAAATCAGTCCTGCAAAAGTTAGGACAATCCCCATCCTGTCACCTCATGGTTTTGATTCATATTTTGCCTCGGGTGCGAGCCGTCTGAGTATTGTATTGTTAAACCGAGATTTTTTCGAGGTGAGATACACACCTGATATTCCTATCTGCGTATCCAAGCAAGGAAAACTCGAGGTGAGATCGATAAGATAACGGCCCCGATTCGTTTATTTATCTTCGCCGTCCTATACATCCCATTTCACCATGGGACTGGCAATAAACGGCTAAATGAAGGCGATTTTTTCACTACTGTCCTTTTCAATCCGGAAATGTAGGAGTCGGGAATCAAGTGCCCACTGACAGATGATTACCGGCCCTTTGGTGCACTTTACATTCACCGCACTTAGGCTGTACTGAAGGTGGTGCATGCACACACTATCCTCAGTTTGGTGGACAGTGTCCGTGAACAAAGGTTGATATATTACATGAGTGACCTTTGGCTAGTTTCTTTTGGCTCATCTATTTGAGCCGTTTAGTTGATGAGATTACAAAAGTTCTCTCGTTCTTTTTCCTCTCTACTAGTGCTTTGTATGCCTCCCGGAGCTAGAAGGCCAGAAGGGAATCAAACCCGTGTAATTATAGTGAAAAAGAATTATGCGTAACCCATGCGAGGGCGATTAAAAACTGGGAGATGTACAGTTTCGCTAGACAGTTCCCATTTCCGAAGCTCCCAAAATGTTTCAATAGGATGTGTGCTTTTTTCACATTCACGCCCCTAATTCGTAGACTTTATCGAATTTTTTTCCAACAACAGATCTTGTCCTAAGCGCATGTTCGTATCGCGGACGAGTATGATTCGTCATCCTCCTCAACCAAGTTAGTGCAGTAATCCCTTGCGTTTTTTCTAATTCCAGGTCATATTGATCATCGCCCGAACGAGCACTCAGTTGCAGGCATCAATTCAGACAACTTGATGCACACACCGACTACTTCAACGTTGACCAATCCCATTGAAGTAAGTCTGTACAAATCACGGTGTTCCTATCTTTCATATTTTCCTCTTCAAAAACAATTGAATATGATCCTGCCATGCAATCCAAAGATCACTCGCTGCGTTGCATACTCTATCATATCCTTGATGAGAAAAACTAAAAATCGTTCGGCACAAGTCGTTCTGCATAGAGACATGAAATTCATACTTGTTTTTCGTACAATGTAGTTAGTGGTCTTTGCGAGATACTTTGGTCAAACAAGAATCGACGGTTGCCGGTCAATTCATTATGATGTGTTTGACGTTGATCACGTAAATGTTCAGTTCTTTCCCTTAATTTACGAACGGTGCTCACTCTATTGGAGTCCAATAGACTTCATTTTGTAAAACCATTTGCCATGCATCATCGTGTGACGGTTTTCGTTGCTGTCTCATGATTTCCCATTAGGATAAAATGGCGGAAATAAAATTGGAATGTTGAGGGTAGAGTCAAAGAAAAGATAGAAAATTCACATAGACTAATGTTGCAAGGGTAATGAATAGATGCACGAGCTCCACTGTTTGCGATATTCAGCCATATCACTCGGTGTTTCTAACCTTCGATTATGCTGATTCCGAGGCTCCCATCCAGGGAGCCTAACGTGGCCTATATGATCGAGTCTCCTGGTTAGTGTTCGTATTCTCCTGCCAAGTCTTTGTTTTACCTTCTTGGCTTTTTTCGATCTATGAACTATCGCGGCGAAAATGGCACTCATTGGCAACCTATTTCGTAACGCGCAATACATGCCTCAAACAACGTAATCTATGGAAGTCGACCAATTGTTCCAGTGGGCGATCGCCGTGCAATGTGGCGTAAACGGTGGTGTTCGAACAACGACAGTCTTTATTTGTCATATTCCCTTTAGGGCCAAATTTCTGCAGCGTAAGGCAGTATAGCCGAACTGCTGCAGCATACACTTAACTCCTTACAGACAGTCAGATGTCACGACGGTGCTACAGATGTCTCCAATCGGCAAATACCAACCGAGCCTTATGTATACGTACCAACACTTTAACTGTGACGCGTCCACCAGATGAGATATAGCTGCCCAAATAGCAAATATGTCTACTTCCTGTAATTTGAACTCTGTGTAACTATTTCTGCTTGCTCCAAATCCCTTTCACCTGTTCAGATAATGTTTGTGAAACACTCATACTGATGTTATGCGTTTTCAGTGGTTGGTTCAGGTTTTCTTCAATAGGGTTTGTTTAGTGTACACACGCACAGCGGACTTGAAATCATCGACGGTGATCGCCGGGTAAGTATGGGTATGGTGCTGTACCTTTTGATGGTATCTGTAACTCTTTCTCTCTCTCCATCGCTTACCACTCCATCGATACACGTGACTGGAGTTTATCTCAGTGCGATTCCGTAATCTTGACCGCGTTCTGTTTAGCGGATATATCATATTACAGTTCAATAATCCACGCTATTGTCATTC